TTGTTCTGCTTCACCAGGGGTCATGGTGCTGTGACTCTGGGTGTTTTCTAACAGCATGAATGAAAAGGAAGACTTGCTCCCCCTTCCTATCAAAGAATAGTCTTGAAGGGAGAAGTATGATAAACAAAAGTGCAGAAAGTACAGTTTCATTTGTATTGTGAAATGTGAAAATAAACTCGTCAGCTGTTTTAGTTAAAAAAAAAAAAAAAAAAAAAGAATTCAGATGTTGGCGCAGTTCCACCGTGGCCCCCATGGAGGCGAGTCGTGTGCCGGTGGGTCTCCCCGGGAGCCAGAGGGCCGCTTCCGGCCCCGGAACAAGTATTCGGTGCTGTTACCTACCTACAACGAGCGCGAGAACCTGCCTCTCACTGTGTGGCTGCTGGTGAAAAGCTTCTCCGAGAGTGGATTCAACTATGAAATCAGAATCATAGATGATGGAAGCCCAGATGGAACAAGGGATGTAGCTGAACAGTTGGAAAAGATCTATGGATTAGACAAAATTCTTCTAAGACCACGGGAGAAAAAGTTGGGACTCAGAACTACATATATCCATGGAATGAAGCACGCCACAGGAAACTACATAATTATCATGGATGCTGACCTCTCCCACCATCCAAAATTTATTCCTGAATTCATTAGAAAGCAAAGGGAAGGTAATTTTGATACTGTCTCTAGAACTCGCTACAAAGGAAATGGAGGTGTACATGGCTGGGATTTGAAAAGAAAAATGACCAGCCGTGGGGCCAATTTTATAACTCAGATCTTGCTGAGACCAGGAGCATCTGATTTAACAGGAAGCTTCAGATTATACAAAAAAGAAGTTGTACAGAAGTTAATAGAGAGATGTCTCTCTCGAGGCTATGTCTTCCACATGGAGATGATTGTTCCAGCGAGGCAACTGGACTACACTGTTGGAGAGGTTCCAGTATCATTTGTGGATCGTGTTTATGGTGACTCCAAGTTGGGAGGAAATGAAATTGTCTCTTTCTTGAAAGGATTATTGACTCTTTTTGCTACTACATAAAAGAAAATTGAGTCCTAGCCCAGGTCCGGTGAGTGTGCGGAGAGTTTCCTGCTACCCTGCGCCTGCAGGACCAGTCCCAGCCCAGGCGCAGCGTGGGCCGGACCCTCTCCCAGCCCCTCGGGCCGCCCCCCACCACTCCGCAGTG